GCGAAAAACTAAAAATAATTAAATTATATCGATATTTTCAATTATAATATTCAAATAATATTCTTAATATTCTATTCTTATAATAAATAATATTCTTAATATTTTAATTATTTAAATTACAACTAATTTAAGAAATGAGATTTATAAGTAGTGGTTAAAAGAGAGAAATATGTACTATACATAAATGCAGATATATCTGTGTATAGCAATGTCAAACCAAGCTTCTTGTAGAACCGGCATAAAAAGTAAATACAATAATTCATAAAGAAATGAATTGATATAATTTGTAAACAGTTAACATAAAAGTTAACAGTAAAACTTAGCTTTGTGTCAAAAATTTTAATAAAACTATATTTTATTAAGTAGACATATTCCAATATTTTTTGATACTGAGAAAAACATGCAGGTGACATTCATGGACAACATCTCATGGCTTTTATCCAATTTATGTCAAAGGAATCCACCTCTAAGTCTTGAATTAATTAGACCTATTCTGCCAGTTTTTGATCGTCTGTTAAATAGTGAAAATAACAACATAATCTGTAAGATATTCGCAATTTATCATTACTTTATGTATTATGTATCCCTTATGGAAAAATATTATCAGATTTGTGCAAAATTATTTGAACGATTATTGTACAATATTAAATGAATAATTTAATTATTTCCAATAGTTTTCCGCGAGTGGGATTTTTTCATAAGGAATTCTAATTTTGAGATACTTATATTGTTGTTTAATTTAGCCGATACCTGCCGGATACTTTGTTACCTTACTGATGGAGTTAACGATAATATACAAGCGATAATGGAAACTGGTATTCTACCGAAAATTTTAGATTGTTTGATATCGAAAATAAAAAGTATCTTTATCCCAGCATGGTTCACCATAAGAAATATAATGATAATGGGTGATGATACTCAAAGGGATGCTGTCATTTCTGCGGGAGGATTGTCGCGTCTTCGTTCTTTATATTGGTTTTATGCTGACAAGAAAAATATTATTGCAAAGGAAATTCTTTGGTTAATTTGTAAAATGGCAAGCAATTCAGACCAAATCCAAAATATAATAAATGCTGGACTGTTATTAACACTGATAAACGAAATTCTATTTGTAAGTAATAAGAATGATTATGGAACTAGTACTGATACAGTATAATAATTGCTGATACATAGTATCAGCAATTATTATACTTAGTACATTGTTTAATTTTACATATCGGATATATGTACGTATTTCATCATCAAATTTAGTTCATTTATTATTTGGAAGCTACATTTAAGGCCTCTAAATTATGGATTAAAGTTGTACATTTAATATCAATTCTCAAAATTTCGTACAGAATACACCCTAAAGTGGATCAGAGAAAGTGTTTTTACAATATGATAAACATATAGGATTAAAATTTAATACCCAGATAATAGGTGAAAAATTTTAAGTTAATCGGAGAATGGTTTTGACTGAAATTTGAGTTCAAACTATGAAGATTTAGCTTAATTTAGAAAAATATGAAAATACATCCGATATATTTGTAATTTGTTGGTTTAAATGGTTAGTATCAGATAATCGTAATTAGATACAAAATTATAATTAGAAAACTATTTGACCATTAAGGTCCAATTTCACAATATATGGTTACCTAAAAATTAAAGATAAGAAATTCATGAATGAATTTTATTGATGAATCTGTTGGTAATCTTTAATCTTTAGGTAACTATATATTGTGAAAACGGGCTTATCTGAAGAAAGATTCACAATTTCAAATGCACGTATAAATTATGAAAAAATTTTATTAATTACTTTGGGCTCGTTTACGATCACAGTGATTGTTGTAAAATCTTTCTTTGTCTTGTGTCAATTTCTTGTCAATATATTAATCGAACAAATGTCTCATCTGTTTTCTGTTAACTCTGTATGTGATTTTATGTCAACTTTATTTTTATAACATCTTTCTACGATAAAAAGATAGATTTAATAGCAATTTATGTTAATATTTATATACTATCTATATTATCTTATACTATTATGTTTACATTTTTTAATTTGGAATTATCATGATTGATCAATTGGGATGGATCTAGGAGAAACTCACTATTAGATAGATCTTCACACAAGAGTTGTGCAACAACTATCCTTCCTTTCATAAATAGGAATACAAAGACCTTATTTTCAGAACTAACATGTCATTTGAAGTGTTAAGCATTTTGCAATCTTTCAGAACAATAGTACATTAGAATAAAAATAATTAAAATTGGCAGTTTAATCTGTTCAGTAATTCTTTTAAATTTAGAGTCGGAAAGTTTTCTAATTGTTACATCTTTGGTTTAAATATCATTATTTGATATTAATTGATATCATTTCATATACGATATAACATAAATAATATAAATACGTCAAATACAATTTTTTCATATTTTCCAAGAATTAGACTAAATATATAAAACTTTGAGCTCAAAATTCCGATTAGATCCATCCTCCGAATAAATTAAAATTTTATAATTGTTATTTGCACTTTTTTTGATATATTTTCTTTATTGTAAAAATAATTTTTTTTCGATTGACTCTATATACACCTGTAAAAGTGTCGGCTTCCTGCACTATATGCAATTTTCACGACACAGTAAACAGTATGACTAGTACAACAGTGTTGTCACATTTAAATAGAATGTGAATTCAGCATAAACTATATAAGATATTGTGGATATTTTATATATTCCATAATTACCTCCTTTCGGTTATGGTTATGCATATAATAAGAAATTAGATTCGTTTTAAATATTGATATAAAGTAATATAAATATTTTGATACAAAATTTCAGTCAATATATCTATAAATTTTTTTAGGGAAGAATAAAAGTAATAGCCATATGGACTGTAACTACTATGATAACGAGAGCAACAGTTCAACAATTTAATCAATTTGTGAATGCTGGTATATTACCAGCTCTATGTAATTTACTTCCCTCAAATTTAAAATTTACTTCTCTCGATCATACCAATATTATTAATGCTTTAACTGGTCTGACTAAAATCTTGCATGCTGCAGAGGAAATAGGACTAGTAAAAAGACTTGTCATTATGATAAAAAAAATTGGAGGATTGGATAAAATAGAAGCTCTTCAACATCATAAGAATGAGAAAATTTATAAAAAATCTTTGGTCATAATAAATGCTTTTTTTTCTATAAAGGTTTGTATTGTTACTTTTATATGTTTATTTATGTCGAAAACAATTTATATAGGAAAGCTTTATTTTTTTCGTTTTTCTAAAGGATTTTTAATTTTATCTGACTTCTAAGGAAAACATATATTATAAATAAAATTATAATCTTATTTGTATTAAAATGAACGTCATTGTTCATAATATTAATTAGATAAAAATTTTCATATATATTGGGTTGTCCGGAAAGTTCGTGCCGATGTTGAAGGAAAATTGAAACGCAGAAAATTTAAATTTTAGTATACATTTATTAAATTATATAGATTAGTTCGGCACGAACTTTCCGGACAACCCAATATATAT